TGTTGTGCAATGAGTCATGAAACTATTTCTTTTCCCTAATGTGATAACTTTGCGAAATGCGTAAGAACTTCCACAAAAAAAAAACACACATTGCGGTATGGAAAATGAAAACCTGTTTAATGGCCACAATCAGGTCAATTTGTGGTTTATGTTGCTAATCGATAATGCATAAAATAGCAAAAATGTGTGTGCACACACGTTCGTACGTATTGAATTAATCACTCTAATAATAAACTATGTGTCATTAATGAGAACTGAATGACAGATTCAGAGCTTTATTTAATATGGACTTAAGAGACAATTAAATTAAATCCCCATACGAAGAAATGCGTTTCATGACATGAGAAGAAAGAGGAACGAATGAGTTGAATAATTTTAAGTTAATAGAGCGCAATTTTGGGCGATAAATTTTGAGGTTTATGAAGTGTTTTTTTTTTGCGAATTCCTATGTGCAATTTTCTCCATATTAATCTACGGAAGTATAAATTACCGTGAAATCTTTATGGCAAACTTTTATAATAGATTGAAAAATTTTATGGAATTTGGCGGTTAATTTGTGATTGTTAAAGAAATTTTATTGACATTCCAGCATAAAGACTTATCTTATTTTAAGTTTTCAACGTAAAACTATTACACTTAAGAATCAACAGCCTGTTTCACTAAAGTGGATTATCCTCGATTTCGGATTATCCACTTCAGTTTTTTGGAAATATCTCCAGACACTTAAGGTTATTAGAGATATTTGCTACTTAAATTAACATATACTTAGAATTTTTATATCTTCATTAGTTTGAGAATTATAGCAAAAATCGAAGTTAATCTACTAGATTTGGCTAGAAAATTGAATAATTAATACTTCTTAACAAAAAGTAAAAGTTCAAAGTATACAGAAATTTCAGGCACAGTTCACTCTATTATAATCCAAAATCAGAAATACCACACTTTCCATAAAGTTTAAGATATTTACAAAAAACTGAAGTGGATAATCCGAAATCGAGGATAATACACTTTAGTGAAACAGGCCGCAAGACTTTTGAAAGAATAAATGCGACCAACTATGAATTTTTAGATGGCACCAATAACAACTGATTCTATGGCCATATCATGTGGTTGAAGATGCCTTAAACTACAATTTTAACGTGGTATCACTTTAAAATCAGTTATTAATGTTGTTCGAGACAATATGCAAAAATATTCAACGCTTAAGCAACCATTAAACTAGCTAATAAAGTAGTGAAATGCGTTTATAACTTTTTATGGTCAACATATTTGCTTTTATGCACATTTCATAGAGTAAATAAATCTCAATTAATTTACTTCATTACACTTTTTGCGCATTTTATTATTGCTTTATTTCTTCATTGCATTGTGGACTACACCTCAGAATATATTTTGTAGCTTATGATGTTTTCGTGATCGCTATTTATTGATTATTAAAGAAGTCATGAGAAAAAAATGTTGTACCTGTCAGGGGTCGTTCATTAATGGCGTCTTAATGTAGCTAAGATCTTAGAAATGTTTATCAGAATTATTAGACACAATGCTGATTAGTGTTGTTACACCTGAATTTTTTAAAGAAACTTTTTTTTTTATCTATCAATAATGCTTAACTTAACGTGACGTAGTTTATGATCTACCTCTTATTATTAGTGTGATTTAAATTTTATTTTATGAATATAAAAGAGGCAATAAAATGCATTTTGCACTTCATTTACAGCGCACGAATTTAGCATAACTGCTTAGAAAAAAGACTTCGAAAATAAATGCCATGAAAACCTTCAAACTATATAATTTCATAATGCAATGCCAACAAATTTTAATGAAATTTACTTTTCTTCTTTCCGTGATTCACAAGTTTATGATCCAAAACATATTTTAATAAATATTTATAAGGTGTAAGCTTAACATCTTTAACACGTAACGGAAATCTGAACAAATTCGTCATGCACTTCAGATGATCACTTAACAAGAATAAAAGAGATTACAATTGCAAATGAATTTTTTTAACGCATGTTGCATCGATAGGCTTTTTTTCCATGTGCTGCATTTTATGCATCTGATTATAAAATGATTTTTTTTAAAAACTTTTTCTTGGTCATTCACAGCTTAAAAATACAATTGTTCTCCTGTCGACCATCATTTTTGCACAAACAATAGCTGCACCGCAAAAGCCATTAGAAGTTGTGAAAAACAAGAGGCATTTAAATTATTATAATGATTTAATCGGACCACCACCACCTCCTCAACATATTAATAATCTCGCACATATTAAGCCATCTACAATTGTTAGTCCTTTGCATCATTCACCTCACCAATCATATCCCAAGTTTACAAATGTTTTTGGTTTCGATGACATCACGTACCAGCATATTTTCAATAATTTGAATGGTTATGGATATCCAACAATTCCAACACATATTACTCCACCGGCCTTTGAGACTCCATCGATTTTTTCTAATGGATATGGCTACGTCAATTATGGTGCAGCAAGAGATTTTGACACAGCTTATATTGCACATGATGGACGAATTCTTAAGCAATATTCAGTTCACGAGCATCATCCAAACGATATTCCAGATCCAGTTGGTTTAAGACCAAGACCAACAAATGCTGGTCAAGGAACGCCATCACAAATTCCTTTGCTTAAGCCACCAAATTTTGCACAACCACGTAATTTTAATGTCAATAGAAACAACGTGCCAACATTCCTTAACAAAAATCACGGACCAATTGCCTTGGGTAGTGGAAGTCTGGGCTTCATTCGTGGTCCAAATGGGGAAGTTTATCTAGGTATGTATTGACATGGCTGAGAGATCTATATCCTTTTAAAACTACTAAACCTTATACAGAGAAATTATCCAACCCTGCTTGAAGACATCATAAAGTCCTACGCATTCGTTTAGATCCACTTAAAAAATTTTGAATTTCTCATCACTGGAAGATTTTTTTGTAAAACGGTTTTCAGTTTTAAAACAGATATTAGTAATGGGATTAATTAATAAAATAATTGGAAAACTATCTTACTTCCTCTCGAAATAATCCTTAATTAATTGAAAATTACAACAACAACAAGTCGCATTCGTTTAGATCCACCACAAAGAATTATTTAATTTATGAATGATTAGTTAAGTTTAATAATCTTTTTGCTTTCAATTTCGATTAACAAGCTTAAAAAGTCTGTTGGGCTTTGAATTTACTAATTTTTCGAGCGTTTTTAAAACAATTTCTCACCAAAAATGCCATACTGCCACTTCCAACTCTTGGACAGATGAATACTTACGTCAACCATTATAAACGTTACGTGCTAGTATGCCCGAAAGATTCTTCATCGCGTTAAGATCATGTGAACGTGATAGCCAATCCAATAAATCGATTTCAATGCTTGAGAACCATGCCTTTGATTCCTTGCTTACATGTATTGCTGCATTGTCTTGCTGATAAATGAATACTCCTTTCATGAAATCATCAGAAAATGGTATCAAAATGTCATTCAACACTTCAATATAGTTCCGGGACTTCATTCGAGTCGAGATTTTAACCAAAGGCGTCTTTCCATACATAAAAAATGAATGAAAGATCCTCCAGCAAAGTTACGACTATAATTAAACTTCTTTTCCTTACGCAAATCATGCCAGTTACATGAGAAACCATCTGGACCATCCATTAAATTTCTTTTCATCAGAAAAAACCACGTTCGTCCATTTAGTACTCCAATTAAAGTACTTTTCTGTCCAACGTAGTCTTGCAGTTTCATGCTAAGGTTTGAGGAATGGTTGTTTCATTTTTTTAGTATGTTTAAAATGACCCGTTTGTTTCAATAATTTTGCTACATGCTTATGACCGATCGGCAATCCAAGTTCAGTCACTAATTCTCTTAATGAATGATTTCTAGCTGATGCAAGAGCCACTAACTGATTCTTTTGGCGTTTTGTAATTTATGAATTTCCTTTTGTCTTTTTTTTTGGGCCATAGCTTGAACCTTTTTTGCAAGTAATTTCCGATAAAATGATGACTTCCATCAATTCTACGTGCAATTCCCCGATTTTATGTGCCTAATGAATGCAGCTGATCGACTACAGCCTTCTCAGTCTCTGTTAAGTAATAATATTTTGGCATTTCTCCGAAAATTATTTTATATTGTTCATTTTTATAAAACAATATTCTTTAATACTAGAGCAATATTATTTAAATTAAAAAGGTTCATTACATTTTGAATTTTCCAATAAAACATTTAATTCTTTGTGGTGGATCTAAACGAATGCGACTTGTTGTTGTTGTAATTTTCAATTAATTAAGGATTATTTCGAGAGGAAGTAATATAGTTTTCCAATTATTTTATTAATTAATCCCATTACTAATAACTGTTTTAAAACTGAAAACCGCTTTACAAAAAAATCTTCCAGTGATGAGAAATTCAAAATTTTCTAAGTGGATCTAAACGAATGCGTAGGACTTTAGCTAACCAGTTCTACTTATATCATCATTAATTTATTTCTGTGTAATTTCAGGAAGCGGAAGTTTAGGATACATCAGCCATTCTGATCATTACAATAATGTCATGGATATTGTAAATCGAAGACAACAGGCTCAAACTCGTGGATCAACAATGTTCTAAGTTACTTTATTGTGTTTTTTTTTTTCTTTACAGATTTAATTTGATTAATAAAATTTATTGAAAAATTGTTCCTTCAACTTTTCTTCTTGACAAAGCTTTAAAAACTGAATGACTCGACAGTCGCACGCCATGGATATAATTAACTGAATTGCATCATTATTGACTTCTTAATGATCTATTAATAGATCTAATTTGAATGCAATAATTATCATCTAGTTTGATGACCTTCAGTAATAAGTAACCGACTATAAATTTAATCTATTTTTTGACAAAAATTACGTTTCTTTACAATGAACTATAAATTTTGGCACGCGCCATTTGATTGATATAAAAACTATAAGTATTTCCCTCAATTCATATCATTGCACTTTAATTAAAAGAACCTGACAGACGGTTAGTTTTTAATCAGGATAGTGCTTTGAGTATTTCTTTTATTAAAGTTTGTGATAAACAATAATCATGTCTGACGCAGCCGTTGAAGCCCCACCAGCCACAGAAGGTGAAACTCCAGCAGAAGCCCCACCAGCCGAGGAAGCACCAGCAGTTGTCGAAAAGAAGGAGCCAGAACATTTAAAGACATGGAAAGCAGCTGAGAAACCCGTAAGTTACAAAAACTAGATTTGAGCAACTATCAATCTCAGATTTAGTATTGATTTGCTACCATTTACCAAAATTTATCATTAACAGGCATACGAGAAAATGCCACCAAACACACCCAGAAAGCCAATGGATAAGGAGATTCCAAAAGATACTGAATTGAGCAAAGATCAATTGAAGAGTAAGCCACACATTCATTTTATACATGCAAAAGTTTGCTAACTTGCCCTTTACTTTCAATTAGTTCTGAAGGATGCATTCAAAATTTTCGACAGTGACAACAAAGGAGCCATTCAATTGGATGTTGTTAAAATTATTTTAGAGCTTTTGACAGGCGAAGAAGTCGACGAGGATGAATTAGACGAAGTAATGGAGGAATATGATGAAGATGAATCTGGTGAAATTGAATTCGCAGAATTCGTAAAGCTTGCCTCACATTTCGTTGAACCTGAAGAAGACTACGAGACAATGAAGTCTAAGCTTAGAGACTTGTTTGTATTCTACGATAGAGAACAGAGAGGTTTCATTCCAGCTGCTGAATTCAAGGCAATCTTGAAAGAATTAGACCCAGAAATGCCAGATACAGAAATTGACGAGATGGTCAAGGAGATTGATGCTGATTCGAGTGGAACTATTGAGTTTGATGGTAAATTACAATTTTTAAAGGAAAAGAAAAAGTTTTTAAATGTTTATATATTTTTAAATCCAACAGAATTCATTGAAGTCATGTTGGGCGAAGATGAGGACAAAAAGAAGGAATAAGTCATGACTTTAATTGACTGAACATCCAATTTATACAATTCTCAACAGGATTACTTATTAAAAACTATTTTTAATGGAAACAAAATTTGTTTTTTTTTTGTGTAAAATTCAGTTTTATTTTTTGCAGATATAAATAATCAAGTCCATCACTTACCTATTGCTGGACAATAAATTCTTACTATTTTGTCGCTTCATCATAATTTTTCGAAATTCTTCAAACATTTTACGATAATCGCCGTAGAGATTTGAATGATCGACGGCCGAAAATATGTAGCGTATATGCATAGATATTTCATGTCTTAATTTCGGATCAACCGGAGCATCACCATTTCCTAATTCAACTTCTTTTTCCAATAAAACATAAATCTTTTTTAATTCATTCATGTGCCTAGCACCATCACCAAGTTCTGCATGTCCAATAAATATTATATTCAAAGCTTTTCTGCACTTTACAGCTTTCCTATGATTATGTGTCTTTTCAGCAGCTGTGAATTTATCAAGCAATTGTTTAGTTTCACGTAATCCAGAATTTTTAATTGATTGAAAATTCGACTTGAGATACGATACAGTCCTGCAGATAATCTTTGGTATTTGAGTTGTTTTTTCAATCATTCTTTCATATTCATCAGTTTCTATTTTATAAATTAATTCCTTCATTTCGTTATGAAACATGAGTTGATTAAAAGGCAATCCAGTTAGCCAAATTGAGTTTCCCATTGAATCAAACTTAAATTGTGAAACAATCTTAAAGCGCTCACCTAGATTAAACAGGGCATTTTGACCTTTTGAAGACATGAGAATTGATGCATGCTCTTTTGTGAGAAGTACTTTTGAATCACATACTTTTGGTTGAGTATCATTAACGGGAGCAAGTTGATGATTTGTATTCTCTGCATTTTTGTTTGTTGACACTAGCGGAACGTAATCAGATAACAGCTGTGGATTATTTCTATCCGATATTATTTGATTTTCATTGCTTGGCTCAGAATTAGGTTTATAGAATTCGGAAAAACTATAATTAGAGTTGCTATCCTCGTGATGATGCACATTCGTTGATTTTACTTGTCTTGACTTGCTACTTTCCCCTTCTTTACCTGCAATTCTGTCTTTGTTTTGATTCTTCTTTCCGTTTCTGTTTTTCTGTTTACTTTTAATTGATGGCAGCTCCTTAATTCTCATGTGCTCTCGATGACGTAAAAATGCTTCTTTAAATTTTGGATAAAATTGACAATTCGAAGGTAATTTTAAATTAAATGAATAATTCTCCATATACGTTAGTAATTGCAAGACGTGCTCATTTTCTTTCGATGCATTGAATGAATAATTTGTTGGATACGATGGCTTATTTGATATCACAAACCAGCTGGATTTAATCAAACCATAAAGCATTTTGTTAATGTAACTACAGTTTTCTGCAAAATGTCCACTTCGAGCGCACAACGAGCAGTATATTCGTTCATTTTGTGTCGATGAGATGTCAAGGACTGCATTATCAGTTACCTATGAAAATACAAAAAAATGATTTAAATAAAAAAAAATTATCTAAGATGTAGATTCAAATAATTACCGTTGTGGTTGAATGATATCTTCGCCATTTATCAGGACATTGTTCTATATCATGTCCTTTATAGTGACATAATGGGCAGGTTTTCTTAGTGACTTTACTGCAATTTCCACACATTGTTGCAAATACATCGTTCGGTTTTCCACACTGCAATAAACAAATTTAAATTAATAACTGGCATTTTAAGAGTAATCAAAAAGTGTCCTTCAAGTAGAACGGTGACCTAACGAATTGAGTGATGTGTTATATATGGGTATTTTGTGCTATTTTGTGAAAGTAGAAAAACAACCTTTTAAATTTTGTGAAGTTTCCAGTTCTGAGATATGAGCATCTGAAAACGGAGCTAGGCCTGATTTTTACATTTTTACCCTTTCGACTGTAAATCTGACAAGACTTGACGAAAATTGTTCAAACTTGGCCAGTAATTTGTGCAAGCCTTCCTTAACAAAATAAAACCAAAAAAATATTTTCATATGACACTATTGCAAATATATGGCGAATCTACGATGCAACCTAGTCACTATGGGATAAAATCGAATTTTTTTTTCCAAAAATTATTTTATTAGCTTATTTGAAAGGTGTTTATCCAAGGAATCAGAATCTATTTTAATTTTGGCCCAAAGTGCAGCAGTGCTGGAGATATAGCCCGAAATGTATTTTTATGACCTTCGATAGTTTATATTTTCAATTTATCAGAACTTTTTCTTGTCTCAACCAATTTTCATGAAATTTTTGTTTAAATGAAAGATATAAGCCGAAACTTTAATATAAATATCAGTCACATAAGTTTTACTTCATGAAAAGTGCTTAAAAATTGACGAAACTTCAATTGAATGTTAGTAGTACGGCACACTTTTTTCAGTATGTGGATTTCTGATGCACTTGAATGTTTTTCTTTTTCCATAAAATTGTAGCTCTTTACTAGATCTACAAGAAAAATAACCCTTGTAAGGTTTAAAATTATTTTTATGCATCAAAAAATTGAGATTTTTTCAAAAAATTTACGGTTTTTTACTATGTTTTGACTTCAATTGACAATAACTGCATATTTCAAGTGAGTGGAGAGACAAGTTTCAACTGTTTTATATAGCTCTCAGTTGTATCTTTCTAAAACTGTGAAAACCTGGAAAAAAGTTTTGCCAAATTTTCAACTTTGAACCATTTGAAACATGTCATCTGCATGCACCTCAAAAATCTTTTTCAACTTGATAAATCTTTCAGAAATGTTAGAAAATAGTGTTTTTGATATTTTAAAATCAATTTTAGTTTTTGGCATGGAAAAAAAGAAAAAATAAATCATTGCTAGAGAAATTATACATTAAGAAAAAAAAACAACGAGATCCTAGTTCATAAGGAAATAGGTTTCGGAAGTCTGTGCTTCACTCTGAAATCCAGTGAGTCGTATTCGTACCTGCCTAAGTTAGACACTAGATTGTTGTCCAATGCATGGCTAGTAGCGTAGAGTCGTCTTGATAATTTCATAATAAATTCATTTACTGTTGGGATTTTAGCTCTTGTGTGAAGAGAGTCATTACTAATGAAGTCATCCCATTTCACATCAAATATTTGTCTCAATATTTTATTTTGGAATGTTTGGAGCTTGTTTAAATGTGTTTTTGCACAATTAGCGAAAATTGGGCAAGCATATGTAAATATTGGACGAATTACTGATTTGTATATTCTAAGCTTAGAGTCTATTGCGACTCAAGAGTTCCTTTTCATCAGACCATACAGAGCAGAGTATGTAATTGACTTGGCTTTGCTCAGAAATGCCTGTATGTGATATTTAAATAGTAACTTATTATCTAAATGGACGCCAAGGTATCTTACATGAGATTTCCAGCTAAGCATCGAGCCATTAAAGACAATTTGATCAGTCAGACACGTCTGAATCAGCTTAGTTGATTTAGTGAGGATGATAAATTCAGTTTTGGAGTCATTAAGTTTAATCTTCCAATCATTAAAAAATGACTGAAAGGAACTCAATGTCTGCATGTGAAGTAACGGTCTTTTCACTTTTATATTTCTTGCTTCATTTCCGAATTATCGAACTGATTCGAAATTCGACCTTTTTCCCCACTTTTATTTCATCCTTCGAAGAAATAACATTAATTAAATTCACATTTATAATATACATTTATATTCATTACAGCGATAAAATCGCATATATAGTTTCACATATATCAAATAAATACATTTTACAAGTTTATTTGCGATTATTATTTCTTCACGTGAAACAATCGATATAATCATTTTCGATTGACGATCTTTCACATCTGCAGAAGAGAACTTTTAATAAAATCAAACTCTGAATTGTCTGCTTCTATAAAATATGCGGTATAATCAGCAAATAATGCTACTTCGCCCTCGTTTGGTATGGGAATGTCGTTGATAAAGAGGTTGAATAAATGAGGAGCTATGACTGATCCCTGAGCCACACCAGCAATGATCTTGAACAATTCAGAGACTGAATTATTGATCGAAACAAAAGCTGTCCTATTTCTCAAATATGACTGGATAAGTTTAATCAAGTATAGTGGATATTTATACTTGATCAACTTGTAAATAAGTGCGTCGTGCCAAACTGAATCATAAGCTTTTTTGAGATCGAGCAACACTACTCCTAAACTCTTATTGACATTGAAACCAAGAGAAGCTTTCTCAGTGATTCTGAGAACTTGTTGAGTTGTTGAATGGCGTGACTTAAATCCAAACTGTTGTTTGACAATTATACTGTTATCCACCTCAAATGAATATTGAAGTCAAAACATAGTAAAAAACCGTAATTTTTTTGAAAAAATCTCAATTTTTTGATGCATAAATATAATTTTAAACCTTGAAAGGCATATTTTTTTTGAAAATCTGGTAAAGGGCTATATCATAATGAAAAAAGAAAAACATTTAAATGCATCAGAAATCCACATACTCAAAAAAACTGTGCCGTACTAATAACATTTGAAGTTTCGTCAATTTTTAAGCACTTTTCATGAAGTAAAACTTATGTGACTGATATTTATATTAAAGTTTCGGCTTATATCTTTCATTTAAAAAAAATTTCATGAAAATTGGTTGAGACAAGAAAAAGTTCTGATACATTGAAAATATAAACTATCGAAGGCCATAAAAATATATTTCGGGCTATATCTCCAGCACTGCTGCACTTTGGGCCAAAATTAAAATAGATTCTGATTCCTTGAATAAACACCTTTCAAATAAGCTAATAAAATAATTTTTGGAAAAAAATTCGATTTTATCCCATGTGACTAGGTTGCATCGTAGATTCGCCATATATTTGCAATAGTGTCATATGAAAATATTTTTTTGGTTTTATTTTGTTAAGCTAGGCTTGCTCAAATTACTAGCCAAGTTTGAACAATTTTCGTCAAGTCTTGTCAGATTTACAGTCGAAAGTGTAAAATAGTCGCAAGGCTTTTTTTTTTTTGGTTTTATTTTGTTAAGGAAGACTTGCACAAATTACTGGCAAAATTTGAACATTTTTCGCTTAGTCTTGCTAGAGATATAGTTGAAAAGGTAAAAATGTAAAAATCAGGCCTAGCTCCGTTTTCAGATGCTCATATCTCAGAACTGGAAACTTCACAAAATTTAAAAAGTTTGTTTTTCTACTTTCACAAAATAGCACAAAATACCCATATAATAACACATCACTCAACTCGTTAGGTTACCGTTCTACTTGAAGGACACTCAAAAAGTATAACTCACCCTCAAACAGATTGAATTAGGACACCTTGTTTCTCTATGACCAATTTCTCCACACATGTAACAGATAATCTTCTTCCTTGGACGCGAACAATATCGTTCCTTATGTCCCCATTCATTACAATTTCGACATCTAATTCTTCTATCACCGTCTGAATTATATCTAATTTTATCAGCATGATTTACTCTCCAGACATTTGGATTTGTTGGCATTGCATTTTTAATTGTAAGTATACAGAAATCTCGTCCACTAGTGCATTCGTTGTAAAAATATCGCATTTCATCATTCCATCCTACTTCACAATCAAGATAATTCGATTTATTTTCTCGTTCTGAACTTACTGGATCTACTTCAATTGGTGCAAATTCATGTGGTGTATGCTCATTTTGCTTTATATTCAATGTTAAATCACATGCAATATCATTTGACACGTTCTTAATTGAGTCAGAATCAGAATCAGACCCTAATTCCATTTCTATTTGCTCATTATCTGATATGACATCGATTAGTGGGATATTCTGTTCAATTATGATGCAATCAGCTTGAGAATCATTTTGATCATGAGAATTAGGCATTTCATCATCTTTTACGATAGAATCGACAAGGACCTTGCTGTTATTTATAGAATCATTAGTTTCCTCGTCATCAGCTTGAATTACAGTGGATATTAATGATGCAAATTCATCCTCGTTATAATTCGGTGTAATGAATCTAGAGCGTTTCTTTTTGTGAGCTAATGGTGTGCTGGATGGTAGTTTCTGCTTTGGTTCTTCCTCATTTTCAGAATCCTTGCCTGTAAAACGTTAAATAAGCCGTTATTCCTGGCGTTGTTTTCAAAATAAATTTTGACAATACTTGCCTTTTCTAGATCCAGTTGATTTTCTTCGTCTCGCCTTTGAATTCTTTGCCGTTACACAAATTGAATTGTCTTCATCGTTGCTTGATGAACTAGATTGAGATTTATCCTTTTTTGATGTCATTGCCTTTGAGCTATAAATTGAGTCTTCTAAATCATTTGAATTACAAACCTTATCTCTTTTGCTCTTTTTACTTTTTGATGAAGTTTTCTCGTCACTCAAATTTCGTTCACAACTACTTCTGGCAGAATTTGAGTTTGAAGAAGAAGATGAGACTTTTGTTAAAGCCTTCATTTTTCGCATTTTTTCATTTTTCTCGTTTATAGCATCTCTTAGTTTATCAGAAATGGCAACCGTATTTAATTGCTCTGAATTTGCAAAAGGATTAACTAATCTACGCTTATCTCCAGCCACAATAAAATCATCAGAAATCATTGAGCTTGTTGATGGACTTGCTGCTCGCTTCTTGTTCTTCCTTTGCTCGTCATCAGATGAATCTAGTAGAATTAACGGCGGTGCTGGGTTATCAATATGAATGATTGAATCATCATCAGAACTTGTTGCTAAATCAATAACAACTGTCTTATTCTTGCTATTTTCTTTGACCTTCTTCCTGACTGCCTCTGCCTTAATTTTTTTCTCCTCATATTTCACTTTCATCAACTTTTTTGCCGGTTTAAGGAATTTTGCTTTTTCTTTTGGAAATTTTGTTAATTTCGTCTTTTTCTTTTCATAATTTTTTGGCTCTTCTGGTTCCATTATTTTATCTTTTAAGCTTTCATCATCTATCACAGGCACTGGACTATTCATAAAAGACAAAACTGAGGTGTATGGAACAAAATAAGGTTTTATTGGCACTGCCAACTCAACATTCTCATTATTTTGAGTCTCATTTGCACTTTCTGGCTTCTTGAATGTCGAGTTTGCACCTTTTTTGAATTTCTGTCTTTGTTTGAACTAAAATGTAATGAAAATGCACAACTCATTAAGTGTACTTAATATACTAATACAGTTACTTACATTCACATTTGTGCTATCTTTTTGATTTTGCCAATATCTCATATTCCTCGATTGATTTGATGTTATAGATGATTCCTCTGTCAAATTTTTTGGGAATTCTTCCAAATTAGAATCGTGAAAGACTTGTGCATAAAGCTGTTGTTCTAATTCCTCTAAATTTTCATTCTCTTCATCATTCTGCAAAAAAAATTATTATGAAATTTCAAGATCAACAACTTTTTGTGCTGTATTTCTTTTATTCGAGACTGTTTTACCTCCATTTATACATAATCTATGTGACACTATCTCAAGACAACGAAAATAAGGTTTAACTATGTTTAAAACTCAAAAGAATCCTATTAAAATTAATTAAATATATTTCACACAATTTTTCAATGAAAATACATGTGAATCGGATAATAGAAGAATCTTTCAAATTTTTTATGACCGTTAAAATAAAGAAGTTGAAAAGTCTCATTCAAATCGCTTCTTTTTTTGCAGCATTTTTAGAACGCATATTTATATGAAAAGAAAGTTTAATTACATAAATTCATTATAATTCAAGGGAAAAATATCTTAACGTGATATTTAAAGTTTTTGGAACATATTGGATGCTGGATCATAAGTCCAGAAACAAATTGCACCTGCACTTAAAAACCTCACGTGCAGTTTAAAAGTCCAGGGGCAAATACAGCTGGAATTATAAATTGCACGTGAGGTTTTTAAGTCCAGGTACATTTAATATCTGGACTTATAAACCTTACATGTGGTTTATAATTGCAGAAAATTTATAAATTTTACTTATAAACTCCTAGTGCGATTAAAAGTCCAGATACATTTTTCTGGAATTATAATCCTTGAAAATTATTTTTGAAACTATTTCAATTTTTTTAACTTTAAAGCAATTCTACAAATGAACTTTTAAAAACTTGACACAAAGAATTCACTTTTCTCTGATTTTTTTTCCTATAAAGTACCTTATATATCCTTTTCAGCTGTTGTATTTCATTAAAATCATTGTAAATAATTTATTAAGAATATCTTTTATGCTTTAATTACGATGAAATTCTTTAGAAAAAAAATCGAATTTTCTTCAGCATCCGTAGAATTAAAAATTGAATGTCAAAGAAACTTTTTGTATGTATCATCATACGCATACAAATTTATAATAAATTAAACGTTTTATCTTCCAAATCATTGTTTAAATTGAATTTTAAGGAAGTTTTAAAAGACAAATCAATTTTTATGATGTAAATTTCCGTCTCTGAAAATCTTCAGCTTTTATTTTCCTAATACGTTTTAAAAAATTATTTTTTAAAATTAAAATTTTATTTTATATAACTTGGCAAGTCAGCTAAGTTTCACTTAGCATATGGTTGAGATTTAAAGCTTAACAAACATTCTATAATGCTTCAGATTCGGAAAAAATGTTCAAAAATTCCTTGTGCACAATATTTTTCCGACACATTAGAAAATTGAAAGTTTTTGTTAATTTCTCTTGATTTGATTCTTTTAGCATCTTCTACATAATGTTTTCGTTCATTGCTCAAAAAATCAGTCCTTAATATAAAGGATAAACTTGATTTTTTACCAAAAGTTTGTAAAAGTTTATCAAAAAATATTGTGCATGATCAAATTTTGTATGAAAATTTATGTAAACTTTGATCGCAAATATCTCGAAAACGACATCAAACGGCATTTCCTCAGTAATATGGGAGATAGATTTAAGCTTAATTAATCAATTTATAAAGGTTTCAGAGAGGTCTTTGGAAGACTTTTTAACTTATGAATAGTTCAATTTTGTAAAAATACTCAGATTTCAATTGCATTTTTAAGACTTAATAAGCAGTTTTCTTTTGATTTGGTGGTTTTGATATGCAAATCTAAGCTTAACTTAGCTAACAACAGCCAGCAAGATAAGGAAATAACAACTTAAAGTAGAGAAAATCAAAGTTTTTTTTTCATATACAAAATGTAAACAAATTTTTGTTGAAAATAAATTAAAGATTTCTGGAGTTAGACATCCAATTGAAACGAGATATTTTCACTGAATATGCCTTTAGTTAAGATCTTTAATCTGGCATTTAAAAGATGTACTTTAATTAATATGTTATTTTTGAATTTTTGAACATTTTTTTCCGAATCTGAATCATTGTCGAGATGCTTAGCTACGATAAACATCAATTGTATTACCTTCATCAAAATGGTGATACACGAGCTTGATTAATTTTGTGAAATTAATATTCAATTAATTCTTAGATTTTGAAGAATTTCCTCAAGTTCCTTACCTACCCTGTTTTTTCGTTATAAGCTACTACTCGTTACTAAGCTACTAGCTTAGTAAAGTTATTTTGAACTTGAAAATTTTTTGTAACCTTTACTAAGCTACTACCAAAAATAAAGTTTAAATAATCTTTTTCAACTTTCAATGAAATAAAATCGGGAAGATAGCAAAATTTCTTTAATTAAGTCAAAAAATTCAAAATTTTCATTGAAGTTCAATTTCTTTACTAGGCTACTACTCGTTACTAAGCTACTAGTGAGCCAAAAAAATCCCTTTTTATTCCTTTAAGCTACTAGCTTAAAACCAAAAAAACAGGGTATGTCATTTATTGAATTTAACATGATTAATAGAGGAAGTGGGTAGAATTGCCATTTCACTTTGATTATTTGAACCTGGCTTAGAAATATTAAGTTTTTGTCTCCTTAATCCATAAATTTTGAATGAAAGAAGTTTAAGACATTTGATTCCACCGGGGGGGGGGGGGGGGGGGGGGGGGGGTTTGAAAAATTGTAACAGTTCACGAAAAAAATTTGTTTATAAATTCACACCAAAAACATTTTCCACCTTTTTAATGATTTATGAATTGATGGTTTTGTTAAAAGATGATGTTGACTGGATCGAATCTGAGCATATGGATGTGGTCCATGAAGAAATAGTTCAAAATTTAGAGTTTGATATTTTAATTTCGATTGATACTCACTTAAAACAAATTTGGGAAAATGTTTAATTATTTAAAAGATTGAATTCAATATCTAAATGTGTCCAATAATAATAATAATATGTATAAAGAAAAACTATGATGAATTATGAATAAAATTTAAATGTATTTAATAACTACCTATAAAAAATTATCAAAATTATCAAAGTAAATAAATTACGAACGTTCAGGGGGGGGGGGGGGGGGGGGGGGTGAGTTGTAAAATATTGTAACAAGGGGGGGGGGGGGAAGTGAAAAGTCGTTTTTTGCGTAACGTAATAAGTGAACGGTCCCCAACGACTATACAACAAATCTATTTGATTCGAGTTTTTGGATCGGAAAATTTCTTCATCTGCAACAATGGTGTGCATGGATCAAGAATCAAATATTATTCATGTATTGGTAAGCAATGTGAATTGATTAAAATTAATTCAAATGAACCAGTACCATTTACAAATACTGACTTTGCGAATGAGTGCTGAAATCCTTAAAGAGTTTATTACTCTCCGAAAGTACAATCGGGCAGAAACAAAATGATGAGGATCATTCATCAGGTTTAAGTAGTGACGAGCTATTTTATGCTGCAGAATTGATAATTTAATAGAGCTCTAGTCATATCGGTCTCATGTTGGATGAGTGTGAACAAATGCCTGGCTACATGCGCCATAAGTCTTTTTAATCTTTTCACGGATTTCTTACTTGAGTTTTTGTTTGTAAACAAAAAATTTGTTTCTCCTTCGGTTTATTAAATTAACTCAAAAATGAGCAGCTCTATAGTATTTCTTAAGTGCTATTTCTGTCAGAAAAGCTACAATAAAAATGGTTTAATTGATATGAGTGGCAGTTCGGTGATGATAAATGAGGAAAAAGTTGAATTTAGGAATTTAATTTTTGACACTTGTTTTGTTCGTGTAGGTTTAATGGAATTAGGGCTCAAAATCCAGTTTCTCATAAATTATACTTTATTTTTAGATCGACGAGATAAAGTCCAACTATATTTGTTCTGATTGCAACAATACTTTGGTTTCATTTCATATGTTTAAGCGCCATGCCAAAAAATACTCGAATTTCCTTAATTACATTGACTTACTGGAAGTTCTATCAAAGTTAGAGAAGTTCCTTGGTTCCTTTGAGGATATTTCAACTCTCAGAATAGCAGAAGGTGCTACAAAATGGTGTATACAGATAGAAAATGTCATAGAATCACCAAAAGAAACAGAATTAATTATTTTTGATCCAGGAGAAATGGCAGGTGATGATTGTATGGATAGAGACGATGTCAGCATTGCTGAAAGTGCCATAATAACACCTACTGCAGAAAATGATTTGATAAGGTCAGCAGACAACAAAAAAGACGAAAATGAGGAAGAAATTCAGCAATTAGACGATATTCAAACAGAATTGGAAATTGATGTCTTAAAATCGAAAAAAAGGAAGCTCAACACACTTAATGATCTTGATAAAGACCAAATAGAATGGATTAGAGAACAAGTTATTAATAGTGATTTTATTAAAGGAAGAAAGAAGGTCTTTAAATGTCCACAATGTCAAGTTGTTCTATGCACACAAGCAAGCTTAATTAGACACCTACGAGACTTGCATCTCCTTAAAAATCTACAAAACGAGAAAGCAATCTTAAAAGAAGAAGTAAATAATAGCAAATTAATAATAGACACAGAAAATGGTCAGCAAATAGTCTTTAAATGCTCAAGATGCAAACGTGACAGAATTTATAAGTCAGAGCAATCATTTAAGCTGCATTTTCGTATGAATCACATTCACGTCAAAAAAATCGATGCATCATTCATTGCCAATTGTAAAACTACAACAATGATTGAGAATGAAGGAATGAAGGATGTTTGGAAGTGTCCAGAATGTTCAAAAACATTTAGATATCGTGATGGATTAAGACATCATTTGAAAAGTGTCCATCTTAGCAATTTTGATGAGACAAAAGGTGATTTGAATCATGCAGCAGATAGAAGCATTCAGGATATATCAAGGCTGACTGAGAAGGTCCAAAATAAAAATGTCAGTAAAGGTGAAAATTTCTGCAATGAATGCGGTGTAAAGTTTATGCTGGCTAAGCATCATGTTAAACCAAAGATTCATCAAGAATGTCATGAAATTTTTAAGAAGCTAGCTCCAAATATGCCTCATTATAGATGTGACAGATGCCGGATAATATTTAATTCTGAAAGTTCGCTTTTTGAGCATCTGGAAATCCACAATAATCCAGAATTAATTAATTCAATCCCAACAGAAGGATTGATCACTTTTGGTGCTTCATATTATAAGGAAGCAGTTGGCGACGCTGATGAAGCCTGTTTAGACGAAGCTGTATGGAAATGTGGACATTGTTCTGTTAGATACTTTGATGAGAATGACTGTGTTGCTCATCAGTTACTGCTACATTCAGAGACAATTTATTGCTTTGTTGATAATCGGGAATTTCAAGGACTTTCTGGTTTAAGTAAATATTTACAACACATGAAAAACAAACATCCAGAATTTTTTCCTAACATTTCGTACTCGTGTAGCTGTAAAATGGAATTCCCGACTATATATGAGAAGCTTGGTCATCAAAAGGTGTGTTCCTTGAAGATATTTGAGTGTGATTATTGTACTAAACGATATTCGACAAAACATCAACTTCAAGCTCACATTCTATTTGAATTGGGAATTACCGGATTCTCTTGTGAAGCATGTGGAAAGAAATGTAAAACTATCAGTGACCTTAAAATACACCAAAATACTCATACTGGATTACGTCCATACTTGTGTACTCTCTGTGAAAAGAGCTTTAAGACCCCAGCAGCAAGATCCAGTCACATGGAGAAGCATCTTCTTGAGGGAGGAATAACTTGTGAGATCTGTAATGCCAAATTAACCAATAGAACACTTTATCAACGACATAAGCGGTTTCAACATGATCAGGAATTTAGAGACAGTCAATATGAGAAAAATACATGCGAACTGTGTGATAAGTCATTCCTTAGAACGTCGCATTTTAAGCAGCATTTAAAACAACATCATTGATTTGTGTAAAATTGGTATATTTTTGTGCTTTAAGTCACACTGCTCAACAATAAATAGTTGATTAACCATTAATAATCACTCATCGATGTCGATATACAAATATTCAGCTATAAAAATTCGCAAAATTTTCATTAAGTTTTCAACTGTATCAACATCAATTGCTTTTCTATCGTCTTCGATCTTATGCCAAACACTTGGGAATGGAAGAGGAATTAAATGTAAAATTTTTACATTTCGTCTCATAAATGGAATGTGATCGTCTTCAATGCCAGCATGAAGGGATTGTTGCTGGAAATATCTTGGTGGATCTTCTCTAGAAACACCTGATCTTGTGTAGCTTTTAAGGAGACTCATACTGCCTAATGTATCTTCAGTTCTTTCTAGTCTTAAATACCACGTTAGAGTCTCTGGATTTAAACTGTAAAAGGCAGGATCAGGACTACCTATAAGATCAAGTAAAACGAGCATATCAATTTTCGGAAGGAATCCTTCATCTTCATATTTTTTTGCTAAATGTCGAGCACCATAAATTGAATCGTCAGCTTTCCATTCTTTAAAGGCTTCTTCACCGTCAAAAAATATAAACATTAAGCTGACATCATTATTGTCTTTTACTTTGTTTAAATGCGATGACATTGTGGTTGCCATATTTATTAACATTGCACAAGGAACTGCTGAATCAGTTGCACCTGATGAATAAATCGTTTGATTAAGTGTAAAAGTTGAAGTTCAAACATTTAACGCACTTTTAAGAATTTGAATCCAAGTTTAAAACTTTTCAAACTTCAAAAAATCCTTAGAGTTTTTAAAACTTTAAAAACAGTTTAAAACTCAAATCGTTAGTGCTTACCTAAAAATTCATCATTTGGGAAGTACTTGCTGTCATAGTGACAAGCCAATACGAGGTATCTATCGGCATTTGGATTTAATTTAGCTATAATATTGGTAAATGTTAAGGTTCCCATATTTGGGGTTTTATCATCAAATTTATCAAGCTCGATTGTCCATTTTAATTCTTTTAATTCTTTAACAATATATTCTCGAACTTTTTTGTGATTCTCAGTTCCAACAACTCTCGGTATCAATATATTATCTAGTATTTCATTAAAGTGAGCAATATCATTCATTTCCGATATCTTTTTAATAATTGAACGAGTCAATTCCTTTGGTTTATGGTCATTCTGTGCATGATTTTGTGATTAGATATCATATCCAAAATAGATTAGATAATAAATTTACCTGTTTTCTACGAATATCAGAAGCATCTTGCAATGATGAGCCAATAGATAAATAGAGTAAAATTAACTTTAAAAAGGTACGTGGCATTATAAATACCTTAAAATTATTTTCACAACTATTAAACTCTACGATAGAACTTCAAATGAGTTGTTTTTTTGTTTGGTGCAAAAACATAAACAATACAGTCAGCGTTTAAAAAATTATGATACCTATGTGGGTGTTATTGAAAGTTGTAAGATTTGTATTGTGGAATTTTAGCATCATTTTGAGTCTTGGAGAGATGGGTTGGGGTATACTGAGGGTCCTCTAATTGAGTAGATATTTTATATTTTTAAAACATAAATTTTACTGCAATAAGCGTGATCTTATCATATTGATAGAAAAATCAATACTAAAGTTACAAAACTAAAGTAAAAACTTACAAAAATTCAAATTCAAAAACCTTACAAATTGTTCGGTGAAATAACATTTGCAACATTTGGACTCTGGAACAATACATGTGATTTTGTATGGATTCTTTGCCTCGATTTGAGTAGAAATTTTTTGGAACAAAACAACTACTCAAATCGAGGACCCCCCAGTAATTCTTTGCAACGATTTTAAAAACCGTTATTAATTTAAAATCTTGCATTCAAAATAACAAAGTTCAATTTTTCAAATTTTGAACTTCCGTTATATTTTAAATCTCAAATTACCAGTAATATTATCTTTTGTTCTCAAAACACGAAGCATATTTATGGCTATTAATAGAATATCGCTTTATTTTCTTCGCTCATTTTTAACATATAAAAAAGGTTTGAAGAAAAGGAAAACAAAATATTAAAATGCGCAAATAATAAGGAGTAATTCAATCAAAGACAAATAGCATGTGAAATGCAAAGGAAAAAATAATAAAAGAGTGACATTGAGAATTCTTTGTGAGACTAGGAAATATCCATCAGTAATCCTCATCATCGTCACTATCCAAATTGTTTCTTCTTCTATCGTAATTAACTTTAATTCCAGAAGTTGAACGAGTCATTTGCTGATTAAGGGATTCTAGCAATTGAGTAAAAGTTTTATCATCCAGCTTCCCACCGATTTGTCCTCTTTGTGCCATTTGTATGATGATATTTTCAACTGCTTCTGCTTTTTCTGGTTTACTTAACTTTAAATTATTCAAACGTGCTCGTGCTTGTTGATCCAATAGACTAGATAACATCATATTCTTCATCTGAGCTTGTTCTTCTTTTTGCTCTTCAATTTTTTTCTGACTTTCTGGATCCTTAAAAATTCCAATTATGAATCATTGTGAACAAATGTTATGAATTAAAAGTTTTATTGACAATTTACCATTTGGTTTTGCATATTAGGCATTCCACCTTTCATCTTTGGACCAAAATCTGCCATTATGTAGCTGGTTTATATAGTATAATTAATTTATTTTCGTAAAAATGTAAAATTAGTGTTTCGATTGATAAATAAAACCGAGAACAGGGTTGTCAACTTTTACGTTCATACTATTTATCTTTTTATTGAATTATCTAGTTGTTTTATCAAAAAAAATTCACAATAGGTAAGCATTGAATATTTTTCTCAATTTATCATCAATTTAATCAGTTTAAAAGCTTGATAATTAATAAAAATCATTTCGGAGAAGTCAGTTGACACTCCTAGATATCACCAAAAAGTTTGGATAATATAGAATTGGGCGACATTCAATAAAAATCATTAATAGTCATTTAAAAACATTTTATTGCACCATTGAATTTATAATAGCCTTTATCAATCGATTTTCTATGTTTTAAATCTACAGTGAGTACAAATAATGTTTCCATATAACGGCTGAAAATAATTCAAATAAATTTTTTGGTGATGTCAATTGAATATTGGGTGATATTTAGGGACATCAACAAAATTTTTGTTTACTAATTTTAAAAATATTTGTATTAATCTACAAGTCGCATTTCTCATCGAAATATCAACTATAATCAACTAAACTGATTAGGAAAACAGAGAAAAAATTAAAATGAGCCCACATAAGGTAAAAGTAATAACTGTAAAGCAATAGATTTCTTTTATTTTATTTTTATGAATTTTATTATTTATATTGTAGTCGGCAACTTCAACAAGCAGCAGTAATTCTAGCGGAAGTAGTTCCAGCGGCTCAGATTCTGGTAGTTCTCGAAGTTCCAGTAGCAGTAGATCGTCAGATTCCTCCGATTCAAGCTCATCAGATTCAAGTTCTGATGATGAAAGATCTCCAGAAAAGCAAGCAAATTCAGCTCCAATCAGTAATTAATTAACGTTCTAAGCGTACTTTTCATGTTTACAAAATGATTTGTTTATATTTTAGAAGTTCCAGAGAAAGTATTAGCAAGAAAAAGTCAGGAAAAGCAATTGCCAGCTAAAGCAGCTATACTTAAGAATGCTGAAATAAAAAGCTCAAAGAGTAATCTGTCATCAACAGAAGATGAAAGTTCTAAAAGTCCTGTTAAAAAAGCACCAGCACATAATGAGAAAAAAAAGGTACATCCACAGCAAAAAGCGTCAACGCAAGCTGCAATTATCCCACAAACGGGTGGCAAGGTTCCACCTAGTGTCATGAAACAGCATCAAGCATTACAACAGCATAATAAGGCACTTGCAGCAGCCAAACTGACACCATTCTCAAACACTCCAACTACTAATAAGTCCAGTGTATCACAGAAATTGATAGCTAATGCTAAGAAGGCAGCAGCTGCAAATAAAGTACTCAAAAAGAAGAGCATATTCTCACCAGATAACTCGTCAGATGATGAAAAGCCATCAGTTAAGACTGATCGCAGGCTGTCAAATAGTTCAACAAGTGGACGTGGAAGAGGAAGGCCTCGAAAACAAGGAAATAATGCTAATTCTTCATCATCAAGTGTCCCAAAAACTACGCCCACAAAAACACCTAATGAGAAACAGAAACAACCAGAAATTAAGAAAGATGTATCATCAGCTAGTTCCACATCAACAGATTCATCCACAGCATCATCGAATTCGGACTCAGATTCAGAAAGTGCAATTCCAAGTCGAAAATCAGCTAGAATGAGCAGCGTTAGAAAATCAAAACATCTTGGTGGCTCAATAAAGTCCGAAACAGAAACAGATGACAGTACAAAACGATCGAGTACAAGAAGTCCAGTCAAGAAAATTCCATCATTGATTCCAACAAAAGGAAAATCAAAGCAAAAGAAAATTGAACAAAAACTTAATTTGAATTTATCAAAAGACTCACAGCCTGAAGAGAAAGGATGTCCGTTGGAAGGATGTAATTCAAATGGACATTTGAGTGGAAATTATGATAAGCATTTTACATTAGAAGCATGTCCAGTATTTCATAATTTGACACTGGCTGAGACTAAAAATAATATCCCTGACAGAAGAAAACGTAATGATGAACGATCAAAAGCACTAACAGAGTTTGAGCCTAAGAAGCCAGCAACACCAGAACAAAAAGCATATTTACAAAAGATTCGTGATATGAGATCAAAGTTTAAGCCTGGACCTAAAATCCATGACGATTATCGTGGCGACGATCGAGAGCCAATGTTGGCAGGAACTGTCTCCGAATATGATCTACAATTATTTCGTGATGCACAAGCACTAGCTAGTGAAAACATTGAAAATGAACTTAAACAATTGCCATGTCGTGGTAGTGTTAAGTATGTAGTAATGGGAAAACATAATATGGAAGTTTGGTATCAGAGCGTCTATCCTGAAGATGTTCAACGACTTCCAAAACTTTATCTTTGTGAATTTTGTTTGCGTTATCAAAAATCAGAAGTAACGATGAAAAGACATGCAGCAAAATGTGTCTGGCGACATCCTCCAGGCGATGAAATTTATAGAAAAGGAAAATTGTGTGTATGGCAAGTTGACGGAAAAAGACATAAAAACTATTGCCAGTATTTGTGCTTATTAGCAAAATTCTTCTTGGATCACAAAACACTCTATTTTGACGTTGACCCCTTCCTTTTCTATATTATGACAATAGCTGATGTTGAGGGCTGTCATATTGTCGGTTATTTTAGTAAGGTGAGTACAATTCTTTGATCTTATTTGCTTTTTATCCTGTTGAGCTTCCGAAAGTATTTAAATGATACTTCACAAGCCATTTTAATAAGTGCCATTAAACAAAATGAAAATGAAGAGCATAACGAGCGGTAGAAAAAATAAACTATAAAACGAAAGCATACTTCCTTAACAAGCTGAATGGTGTCTTTATGACACTTACATTAGTCGTCTACTTTGTGAACGTACAAAGAATATCATTAAAATGAAAAATTTATATGATAATGCATGTAAAAAGCCTTTAATTGCTCCATACACAAAAAAAATTACTTCCTTTTTTCGATGTCATTACTATTCAACAAATCCTACCAGTCAGGGATGGTGATTGGTAATTTTTGGCGTTGAAACTATTCGTTTGATTTGAAACTCAATGACTGACTCATAACCCTTGAATATACTCAAATTTTTTACTGAGCACTCTTCTGTAAACATGCTCTTCCATACAATCTTTGTAAGCTCGGAATAGAAGTCATTTGTTTAATCCATAGGTTGTTTTCAAATACGCCATTTAAAAAATGCGATTTAAGACCTCTCCCTAGGTTCACGGGCGACTATTAGAGTATCCTTACTTTTCGGTTAAGTGGTGTATTTGACGTCAAAAGACAAACATCTACTTTACCAGCCCTGCTACTAGCTATGAAACGGAATCCATGAGATGTGTTTGTTTAATATTAAATTGTGCATGCATTACATGAATGACAAACATAAAAAATTATGTGGGGGGACTCTTTTGTGCATGCTTCAACACCTCCTTTATGACATGAAATGAGTAGAGCAACAAAAAACTTCACAAAATGAGCAATCGACAAAAGCTCTTCAAACAATTTTTTTTAGTCGTGTGATGATGTCTTTTTAGTATTGTATGTTTCATTGTGCGGTGGAAAATTTGCTGCCATAATAATAATGATGCACATATTGGTGAATGTGTCTCTCCTTTTGTTGAAATAAACTTCCAGACATAAAATTGCGAGAGAAACAGAACTCTCGAGGATGGAGTGAGATGAATTGAGATGAAAAACAATTTTTCTGCAGTGTGTATTTTTTTTCAACATTCACTAGATTTGTCGTCTGTCTGTTGAACCTTTATCTCCCATTCTTTTACTTTACAATTTTATATTGTGCACAACAAAAACGAACTTTTTCATGAGCTGCCGCCAATTTATTCCATCTCATTCTCTTTTAGTTCCTTTTTTTTACAATTTTACAATGCCTCGAATAAGGGTGAATTCAATCCTGTCGTTTACTGGAGTAAAGGAGAGAAGGAAAATAAATGTTGTTTTTGTTGTTGCTTTTGCACAGTGTCTGCTGTGTGTGGAACAAAATTTTGTTGTAGACGGCAGACAACGGTTGCACACATACACACAAAGAATGATGCTGTGCTCCTGCTGAATGATAATTGAGTTCAATGAACTTTATGGCTCGAACAATAAATCGAGCATAATACCTAAATTGGCTGCAAAAAAGGAGCTTTTTGTATAAAGGGATCAAGTGCTATGCGCTTTTTCATTGTTAATTTATGGCAAAGTAATTGGTTTTTATAGAAATTTAAGAATATATGATTAATCAGCCTCCAGGGAGACTCATAATATGTTTACATTCACTTCTATCAGATTCTTAATAGTTCATTAAGTTTATGGCTTGTTATCCATTATTCAATCACCTAATATATTTTATCTTTGTATAATGATTCTAAAAAATTTACCATAAATGGACATTGCACTTTTAACTGTACAACCCCAACTCAATATAAATTGTGTCTGCTCATGGGTACATTGTATACATGCTACAGACAAAAAGAAAACGAGACGCGATGATGAAAATGGAAGGGAAATGTGAAAAAAAGGGAGTGATGTTCGGAAAATTACTGTTGTCTGCGCGCTCCTACTATACGAAAACAAGGACATTGAACTTTTTCTCCCCCTCTAGCCCAAGCAGCATCCTAGCCTTACTTTTGTTCTCATTCCATTATGTCTGGCGTGTAGCTTTGTGCCAAGGGTTTGCAAAAATAAAATAAAATTATTTCTCTCTGTTACTCACTCTTTTTGCTGCTTTTCAATCCTATTCAAACTCAATATATATAAAGTTTTTGTTCTTCTGTAAAATTTTTAGAACAAACTGTATAAATATTGAAAATGATGCTCACTGAAAATCGAGAATAGAATGGGTGGAATAAAACTGAGATGCCTGAGATTGATAGAGCTGAGCAGATGGGGAGATTAGTCGTTGATTATTTGATATAATGATTGTTACTTTTTAACGTTACCTGAAATTTCGAGGGTAGCTAAAAAGTCTGCAAAGTTCAAATTTTAAGTTTTTAATCAGGAATCGCCCTTGATTTTTTGTGGAAGTGCTTTTAAATACTCCAAAAAAAGATTAGTTTTGTACTCACAAATCAATTGTAATTTATGACTTCTTAGCTTCTGACATATCTATCTTTTGATAATTTAATCTGAAAAGTTCATTCTTAAAAGCTTTTAAGACTGTTGACTTTACTATAAAACAGTTTCGTCTAAACTTTTTTGAACCACGGAACACTTTTAGTCAAGAAAACTTGTCTGTGCCGCATTATTCTATGAATGCTCTACAGCAGAATGCTCTACAGCACACAGTTTAAACAACGCTGTTCTAAATTATAGATAAGGTTGTACCTAGTTCTATTTTGCTTCATTAAATCTAATACAAATCATAAACTTACATGAGCATTAGATTTGCAGTATTATTTTCTGTTGTATGTTGCAAAATCTCCATTTTAGCCCAGACATGAAAAGCTTCTCTTTATTCTATCTCTAAAAAGTTGTTTTTTTTTTTCGCAAAAAACATTACAGTAAATGACTTGTATAATCATCGAGACACTTCTTATTCGCTATAATGAAAACTATGATTTATAGCGATGACAAACACAAAATTTTATGCGATATTAAAGTTATTTGTATGAAAAAGCTCATCCGCATTATTTAGGGAGAGGCTAAAGTACTTAAAATGCTGTTGAACGCACATGTATATATAAATATATATATTTTCCATCAGTGAATTTTTGCTTTTATATGGGTTGGGGGTTGTAGACATATATGTATGAAAAGTTTAACGAACTTTTTTTTGGCAATTGGATTTTTCTTCTTCTTATTCTTCTTTCCTTTACGACTGAAAATATATATGAATGTACGAGAGTAGATGAGGAGATTTTTCTTGGTCTCATACCATTATGCAGTAAAAAGCTTCTTTTTAGATAACGAATTTAGTCTGTGTAGTAAAAATACGGCCAATGACCTTGATAGCAGAGATCGTTGATAGGATAAAATGGAACTGATATTTCCGAAGAAGAAAAATTATTTTTTATCACGATTTTCTTCTCGATGAGCTTCGAGACTAAGTAAATACTTATCAGTAAAAAGATTTTGATGTTTGAAGAAAATGAGTACAAAAGTATTCAACGATTTCTTTATCTACTCTCATTATCATCTAGTTTCAATGAACTTAAAATTATTTTTCTTTTCTTTTCTCTTTTTCGTTTAAACTTTTTTTGTGCATGAACAAAAACAAAAAAAAACTGCTTTAACCACAAGAAAAAGTTCATCAACTCCAAGTTTTCTTTTTTGTGACTTTTTTTTTTCCTTTATATTTTGATTTTCTATTTGTATAGCATAGAATATCTAAAAGATTCTTCTTTTCTATAGCTTTGATAAATGTGAATTTAAAAGCATTTTAGTGTATTAAACTTTGGAAGAAGTATAAAGATGCAATCGTCTTGTGGTTTTGCTAGTTTTTATAAGCGTTTTTTTTGGAACTGCTCTTAAAACTCCTTTAAAAACAATTGTATTTACTACGATTATTAAATCACAATTCATAACAAAATCGATTCAGAGAACCATAACCTTCTCTAATGCTTATGAACTTAAGAAAAATATGAACTGCAAATCCTGCTATGCTGTTTGTTCAAAGAACTTTATCTTCTCAATTTATATATTTTTGTTGTGGCTCAAATCAGTTGTTTTGTCTGTGTTTCTGGACAGTAATAAATCTGATATTGTAAAAACGTAAACAAGTTCATATAACTTAGAAAATTAATAACTTCTGAAATTCGAGTTGAAGCACAAGCGTTTGTGCAGTTAATATTGTAATTGTTTTGACGCTTAAAACCATATTATTTTTAATGATTGTAAGTTTTATGAATATCTGTGATTGCTTACTAGCTAGCTAGTGAAAAAGAATGATTCATATTGTGAGGATTTTTATAACAAAATTTTTGAATTTCGCAATATTTGAACCTTATTAGAACTTCTAACCTTTGTTGGATATTTTAATTCGAACCATATTACCATATTAAAATTTCTTTCCTTTGTTGGATATTTAATTCTTAATGCTTTGCTTAAATTCTTGTTTAAAATTATTAAATTCCTCTAAATTCTTTTTCTTTAAGTTTGGTTATTATTTATCCAAAAATAAATTTCCAAATATGATTTCTTCTTCAAGTGGCTAAGGACATTTTCTCCTGCCAATTATCCTCCACTCCTTATTGTTATACTTAAAATTTCTTTTGATGTTCCAAAGACATACTAGGGTATCATGACATGATTTCATGAAAAACTTTAAAATAGCAAAAACTAAAGTAAATTTTATTTTTTTTTGCAAAGTTTCACTTTATTTTATTTCAAAACGTGAGTAAAAAGAAGAAACCAAATAACAGAATATCATAAAAGTTGGTCGAAATTCAGTATTTTTGATATAGCACGAATTTTCATTACCACATCAACTTTACGATAGCAAATGGATTGAAACAAATGAGTTCATTTTTTATTAAGTAAATAAATAGTTTCATCAACAATAATTTTCATGGAAAGAAGAAGATAACGAATTTAAGGAGCGTGTTCATAAAAAGAGCTACCAATTATTTCATTATAAGGTTTTAATCATCATTCGACGTGTTAATAACAAAAAAACGGGAATGAACTCGATCAATGCCTCTA